TTTGTTGCTTTAATTATGCTTCAGCGAACTAGAGATAGAGAGAGAGAAAGTGTTAGAAGAGGTTTTTTTTTTCCTTTCTCTTTTGATGGTTTTTTTATTTGTATCTGAGGTTTTTTGGGGTTTCTTTTGCTGTGGTTTGATTCTTGTTCAAACCCATTTCTGCTAAAGTGTTTTTTCTTCTTCTTGTTATTGGTTGAGTTTCATGAAGCTTGGAGTTGGTTTCTGAATTTTGGGATCTGGGCTTTAGGGTTTGACTTTCTCTCTCATTGACATTAGGGGTTGAAAAACCTATTCTGGGTGCTTTTTTGTTTCCAGGTGAGTCATTTGTCTCTTATTCTGTTTTTTGTTGTCTTCAAGATTCTGGATTTATTATTATATTTTAGCTTCTTTTTTAGCTTTTGGGTGAGCCTAATGTTTGATGTTTATTTGTTACAGATTGATGGGGTAATCTGTTTTGTTTGTGTGTTGTTTAAAGTTTGTGATTTCTTTGTGTGAGTACAAGAGGAAGCTATAATGCATCTCTCACTGTGGAAGCCTATTTCTCACTGTGCTTCTCTGATCTTGGACAAGAAGAGTAGGAAGAAGAAAACTGAGTCCATGGCTGATATAAAAAGAAACCCGTCGATGCTCCGGAAGCTACAAGAAAACAAGCTGAGGGAAGCTCTTGAAGAAGCTTCAGAAGATGGATTACTTGCCAAATCGCAAGATATGGAACCTGACACTGTCGGGAACCAGGATGATAGCCTTGGGAGATCCAGATCCCTGGCCAGGCTGAATGCTCAGCGTGAGTTCCTTCGTGCTACTGCACTTGCAGCTGAACGCACTTTTGATTCTGAGGAGGAAATTCTCAGCCTTCAAGAAGCATTTTCCATGTTTCTCACTATGTATCCCAAGTATATGTCCTCAGAGAAAGTTGATCAATTGAGGTCTGAGGAATATTCTCATCTGCCGCCCAAGGTATGCCTTGATTATTGTGGGTTCGGTCTCTTCTCTTTTATTCAGACTATTCACTATTGGGAATCTTGTACATTTAGCTTGTCTGAGATAACTGCAAATTTGAGTAACCATGCACTTTATGGCGGTGCTGAGAAAGGAACTGTTGAGCATGATATAAAGGCCAGAATTATGGACTATCTTAATATCCCTGAGAGTGAATATGGCCTTGTTTTTACTGTAAGCAGAGGGTCAGCTTTTAAATTGCTCGCTGAATCATACCCTTTCCAAACGAATAAAAAACTGTTGACCATGTTCGACCATGACAGTCAGTCTGTTAATTGGATGGCTCAGTGTGCTAGGAGTAAAGGCGCCAAAGTGCACAGTGCATGGTTTAAATGGCCAACTCTAAAACTCTGCTCTACTGATTTGAGAAAACAGATTTCCAATAAGAAAAAGAGGAAGAAGGATTCAGCTACTGGTCTTTTTGTGTTCCCAGTTCAGTCTAGAGTAACTGGGGCTAAGTATTCGTATCAGTGGATGGCCTTGGCGCAGCAGAACAACTGGCATGTCTTGCTTGATGCTGGGTCGTTGGGCCCCAAAGACATGGATTCACTTGGCTTGTCCCTTTTTAGGCCAGATTTCATAATTACATCATTTTACAGGGTATTTGGGTATGATCCCACAGGTTTTGGTTGTCTTTTGATTAAAAAATCTGTGATGGCAAGCCTTCAAAATCAGTCTGGGAGTACCGGGTCCGGAATGGTGAAGATTACCCCTGAATTTCCAGTGTATTTGAGTGATTCTGTAGATGGTTTGGATAGATTGGCTGGGACTGAAGACGATGAAGTCAATCGGGCTTGTGATAAGACTCTTGAACCTCGCCAAGGATCACAGTTGCCTGCCTTCTCTGGTGCATACACGTCTGCACAAGTCAGAGATGTATTTGAGACTGAAATGGATCATGACAGTTCTGAAAGAGATGGAACCAGCACTATATTTGAAGAGACCGAGAGTATATCTGTTGGAGAAGTGATAAAGAGCCCTGTCTTCAGTGAGGATGAATCGTCTGACAACTCATTTTGGATTGATTTGGGTCAAAGTCCTTTGGGGTCAGACAATGCAGGTCAATCAAATAAACAGAAGATAGCTTCTCCCTTACCATCTTTCTGGTTCAATGGGAGGAAGAACCAGAAACAACATTCTCCAAAACCAACTTCTAAGATGTATGGCAGTCCTATGTATGATGACAGAGAGGTTCATCTAGCTTCTCATGATGATCACCGTGTTCTATCATTTGATGCTGCTGTCCTAATGTCACAAGAACTAGATCGTGTCAAAGAGGTCCCTGAAGAAGAGTATGTTGAGGAAGTTCATCATTATTCAATTAATGGAAATGGGTCAGATCGTACACATGTCAGTGAGATAATGGAAGAACCTGGAACCAGTGAAGCAGTTCAGAATGGATCTGTTGCTATGGGTGAATCTTGGCTCAATAATTCAACTTCTCTTTCTCGGCATCAAAGCTTGGAGAATGGCTCTGCCTCCGAAATATGCTCCGAGATAAAAGAGAGTGCTATAAGAAGGGAAACTGAAGGTGAGTTTAGGTTGTTGGGTCGGAGAGAAGGGAATCGATTTGATGGTAGTAGGCTAATTGGTTTGGAAGATGACGAACATAATGGCAGAGGAAGAAGAGTGTCGTTTAGCATGGAAGACAATCGTAAAGAGCATGTAAGAGAGAGCTTGGAGATAGGGGACATATCTGCAACTAGCTTAGACGATGAAGATGTCAGTAGTGACGGAGAATATGGTGATGGGCAAGATTGGGGCAGAAGGGACACTGAGATTGTATGTCGAAATATTGATCACGTTGATATGCTTGGTCTCAATAAAACTACGCTTCGACTTCGGTTTTTGATTAACTGGCTCATCACTTCACTACTGCAACTGAAGTTACCCGTTTCTAATGGAGATGATAAAGTTAACCTTGTTCATATCTATGGCCCAAAAATAAAATATGAAAGAGGTGCAGCTGTTGCTTTCAACCTCAGGGACAGAAGTAGGGGGTTAATCAATCCCGAGATTGTTCAAAAGCTGGCTGAAAAAGAAGGAATCTCTCTTGGTATCGGTATTCTTAGCCACATAAAGATTCTTGATAACTCCAGACATCAGCGTGTAGCTCTGAATCTTGAAGACACAGCGCTTTGCAAGCCCATGGAGAATGGCCGGCGTGATGGAAAAGGCAGCTATGTTAGACTTGAAGTTGTCACGGCTTCATTGGGATTTCTGACTAATTTTGAGGATGTATATAAATTATGGGCTTTTGTGGCAAAGTTTCTTAACCCAAGTTTTATTGTAGAAGGGGGTCTTCCTACCGTTGAAGAAGACTTTGAGACATGAGATGGCAAAGTGGTAGGTGATTTTATTCAATTTTGGAAACCGTACATGAAATATTATTCGTGAGATGTTTCTAAGGGCCGAAGACTGAATTGGTGGTAATTTTGTATGCTGCTGGATATACAAATGTTGATTTGTTAGTTTATGTTTCTTGTGTCTTAAATTATTTATATTTTTTTAAATTTTCCTCTTCTGTTTTTGAGCTGCTTGTAGAGTTGGCTTTGGAGATTTGTTACAATATTGGGAAGTCATGATGTATAATTTGAATTAATATTGTATGGGTAGAAGTTCTACTTATGCATAGAAAAAAGATTTCCAACTTTTGTAAAAAGGTAGTGTTCATTTTCTTGCTATAGTTGATGATGATGATGATACATTCTATGGTGGATGCTTTCTTTGTTGACTGAAATTTATTCCTTAGTTAATATATATTACAGAAACTAAAATTTAAACATGAGAAACTTGACTGAAATGATACCAGAATCTGATTCAGAGCAGAATGTGACTCCTTTTCTTAAACTGAATGAAATAATTGGGTTTGTCTTTATTTGATTATTTTGTTCCTGCTAGTTAAACTTGTAGAGTATAATCACTGCAGGACCTTGCATGTAAATATCGAGTAAATTATTACAATTAATAATGAATTATTAATTGAGTAATCAATAATATATGCTACCCTACAACAGCACTGCCCGGAAGGCTAGTGCTATCCCCACGAATAAGCACTTTATTTTAAGCGAATTATATCAATTTTTTATATAAAGGGTAACAATCATTGTTGGGCCACCCCCACTACGTTTTGTTTCAGTAAGGAACTACTCCTTTTGATTGTAGGGGATTTTATTATGTTTTGTCCGTCCAGCTGTTGACTAATAATCACTGAGGCTGAGCTATGCTTTGCCAATGTAAAGAAACAAAATGTCAGCTTTTGAGTGATTAGGGCATGCACTGAATCAGAAAATAATAATGCAATTGCAATTTGGGCAGTAAGATTTTACTGTATTAGATTTGTTAAACAGTTTGTTCGGTCAGATGCACATGCACACATCTATGATTCGGAGATCATGAATGTGGCCATACTTTCGTGGAACCATCATGCATTTAGATAAAATCTTTTATAAATGCTTTTTCAAAAACATTAGACTTTTTAAAAACTTAAGCGTAAGTAGTAGTGCTGTGCATTTATTAGAAAGCCAACCTCACTAATATTCAATTATAGACAAACAAGTTTCAAACCAGACTATACATAAGCTGCATTTAATAGAAAGAACTAAAAATATGGTTACAATTATTATGCAGTAAGAAATACTTATCTCAATTTGATGTAGTTTTTTACTTCATAAAAGTAATTTCTACAAAGATAATGTGATTTAGAGAAAAGTCTATTTGCAACCTATGCAAGCTGAAGGCCTGCTGACAGCAAAATATAGGCATCAATATATTACATTACAGTTTGAAAAAATGAATTTGAACAGTACACCTTCATCTCTCTATGGCACAAGATGTGCCACCAAACAGTGTCAAGGGCATATTACAACTCCATAGCCAGTGGAAGGTGAGTGTTTGCGTGTCACTACTCCTAGTTGGCATATATGTACATGAACAGAATCGAAGTCACAAGTATGACTCACTTACAAGTGTACAACACTAGCTTTAACTTTAACTAACAATTAATGAGAGAATGAACTTCCCTCGATGCTATGCATCGAGTCATCACTTAAGCTAAAGTTTGGTTTCTCCTCGTTCCACTTTAAAATCTCCTTTCCATATTTAAGTGATGCGTCAACACTATCAGGTTCCAGCCCCTTCACCAAGGACACATACAAGTTTTGTCCTGTAAGAGATGAATAAAGCCTCTTAAACTTAATTGCTATGTAATGGGAAGCAAGCTGACTTAGGGACGGATTATTGTTAATGTTGCTGTTGTTGCTGCCAGGGCGATTATGGCTAATTACTGGATGAAAATCAGAGAACCAGTCACACTGAGTCAGTGGAATATGTTCTATTTTCTCCTCAAACTCGTCCATTTTGTTTAATATCAACAGGAAGTCCATTTGCTCAAAAGTTGGGTGAGTAACAATGGTTTCGAAAAGTTTCCTGCTCAATATCATCTTGTTTGTGAGACAACCGTTTCCGTCTGTGGAAAACTGATTATAGTCGCTCAAGGAAACACAGAAGATGACCAATCCAACATCCTCAAACATTTCTAGCCACTTGCAATTATCTCCTAGCCCTCTTGCATGTATTGTAATTAGCTCATACCTGTGAATCAACCAAAGAGACCAACCAGAGCTACATATCAGAAACAGGAGCTGATTGAGGAAATGAAAACTCTACACTAGCCAATTATACAGAAGTTGGGTCAATCAGGGGCAGAGCTATCCAGAATATTTCTGACATAGATAAGAAGGCCCAAATAATTTTTCTTACCTAGTCAAAGAATCAAGAAGATCATCAGTGTCGCCAGTTTCCACAGGAGCTGATTGAGGAAATGAAAACTCTACACTAGCCAGTCCATTGGATGAAGTAACTCCTTCAGCATAAAGGATATCTAAATCCGAGGGTTCATAATCAGTCCTTAGTATCTGAACAGCCTAAACAACAATTAACATGTTAGATTCTCAAAGCCACTGACCTAGCAATCTTTTTCATGAGAAAAGAAATAGAAAGGAACTATGAAAGTAAATAAGGGCACAAGCATTGTACAAATACTTGCACAAATAATCCCAATGAAGCTTAACGGTCAAAAGATGCATACAAGGTAGCGTGAAGTGTATACAGTTTGACACATTTGTTCCTATAGTGTATTTTATACCTATATTAAAATAAAGATTTAATTATACTGTTCGACTAAGAATCCTATTATCTTAAAGCTACAGAATTCAGTCAGTTACATATTCCTTAATTTTTCCACCAGTACCTAAATACACACACACACCCTTCTCCTGACACTTTCTTCTATATGTAAGGGTATGACAAATAATTATGTTATCTCTCAGTTCAAAGGTAATATGTAGTTGAGTCAAAAAGATTAAATATACTGATTAAATTATTGATAAAAAAAAAATCAATAAAAGAATGATCCTGTACCCGCTCTAAGAAATAACTGGCAACACTGGGTAGCATTTCGATTTCATTTCTTTTTTCATAGGTAGCCTTAATGGCTGAATCATTCCATAACTCCTCAATCAGTGGAGTATATTCACGAGTAGCGGCTGGAAAGATAGCTTCAAGCTTGCCCGAAGCCATTGTTTTCAGCAGCCAATCAGAGAATGCTTTCAGTCTTGTGCCAATGGAATAAACTGTCTTGTCGCCATGTTTCGGACTGGTTCCTGTACCCAAAATGGTACTAGCTAATGAACATTTTGCTTTTGATAAATGCATGTCAAAAGTTTAAAATCTGAAAAAATATTACTTTCTGACTTGTGTGAACAAAATTGACAAGTATATTTTAGTCACCATTTTTCAAGTTCTTGTAACAAATATTATCTAATTTCAGCAGCTAAAACATTAGCATTTCAATAAGTAAAACTAAATAATGGAGATTAAAACCAAAATGTGCAATCAATCTGATAAAAAACACAGACTAATTAAACTCAAACCTGTAGTATAAAGTAAAGATTGATTTTTCTTTAAATTCCCCAGACTTTCTTCTTCAAAACGCTCACGGCCCTCGAGGAGTATGCCAAGATAGGCATAGACATTGGTCTGAATGGTCAACTTTATACTTCCACGTTCATCTTCTGAGAATGGGGTGCTTTTGTAAAGAATCTTGGCCTGACAAAAGTATTTACAATTTGATAAATATATTGATCTCTTTATCTTTTAGTAACAACGGGCATGTTGACAGAGAAGAACACAACATAGCTAGTTATCGACAGCAACACTCAATTTTTTTCCAGGGTGGTGGGAATGAATGTTTAAAGTTTATTTGAAAATTTTCAGATTTCAAAAGTCAGGTCATGTATCATAGCACATTGATAAGTCTTAAATAGCTCAAAAACACCTCAATATTTTGAAGTCAACAAAGCTTCTTCAGTTGCCCGTGTAACTGCATATAATCATGTAATATGTTCAACTATGAAGCCAGTTAAAGAAGCCTAACATGATTGTGCATCCAATCCTAGATTTATAATACACATGATAGTGTATTCACATAAATGCATATTATTATGACCGACAAGGTCATACTCCTTATGCCTGACTACTCATAGAAGCTTTTTTCATGTTAGCTTGTTTAAGTGACTTAAAACTTATAATTTTGATGAAAATAAGATTTTGAACATATATTCTCCAAAGCAATTTTTCCCACCTAAAAGAAAGTTCCAAGCATAAAACAAAAAGCAGAGAGAAATGCCAAACTCAATTATTACCAAATTAAAAATACCTGCTTAAAAATAGTGCTTGTCCCAGAACCACTATAACCAACTAACAGGAGCTTGTGAACTACTCCATGATCGGCGTAATCAGGAACCGTTCTAGCAACCACATTGGAGGATAGAAACCCACATGAAGTTGAATATCGAGAAGGAACTGGCAGGGAAAGGAAGGCACATACAAGCTTCATTCCAGCCTAACAAGTAAAACAAGTGTGTAATATTGCAAAATTGGAAATAGTAAAACCAGAGAAAAGTTTCCAAAAAAAAAATGTTACCTTTCCCCATATATACCCTCTGGTATTTTTTTGTCCCTCTTCTTGGTATGAACCATCTTCATTGACCCAAAAATGTGGGTTACCAGCACACTGAACTCCCGCCAACTGCCCAACCAAAACAACATATTTTCAATAATATTTTTTGTTTGAACAGCAAAAGAACATTAACAATTAAGAAAAAGCCTATAATTTTCTATTAGTATTTGCATGTATTGAATTTACAACCTGCAACATCCGAAGTTCTACTTTCGTTATTTCCCGACCATTGATGAAAACCTGCGTGTTTCCATTGCTAGCATCCTGTTTGATGGGTCCTCCAACATTCAAATGTGGACTAATAATACTGCAAGGCTTCTGTCCTTCCTAAAATACACGCAACACGCCAAGTAAAACTCAATTCCAAACCGCAAGACAAATAAGTTTGGATTAACAACTTAATTAAGCACTATTAGTATAAGCACTTATCATATAAGCTATGAAGATCCAACACGAAGATACACATCAGACACGATATTGACACTAACACATTGACACCAGTAATGATTTGACAAAATAAAAACAAAGGAAAAGAGAGCTACCTTCCCCCAAAAACCAGATACTTTATCATACCAATAGTTCCCAGGCTTTAACTTCTTAGGAGGGTTAGAACAATTTTGCAGTGTAACTAGTTCCTCAAATGAAAGAGGATTTCCATTAACAGAAACACAATTAGGAGGAAGCTGATTCACTTCACAAAATCTTTCAGCCTTCATTACTTGTCTAACCTCCAATCGATTAAGCAATCGTTTAAGCAACCGAGAACATCTTCCCAAACTACCTCTTCTCGACTCGTTAATCGGATACCCGATACAACCAACACATTTTCTTCCTTCTGGCATTGATCCCACAGCTCTAAGCACACAATTCCCGCAGTACTTAGCATCACAAACAAGACACGCTTCTTTCTCCGTTAACCTGTTACCTTTCAAACACCGGTAACACGAACCTTTCTTCCCTTTAACGGATTCTCTCTTAACCGGCTCCACCGGTTTGCAGTCATCGTTTACAGAGTTTTCAGAATCAGAATCCACGTTGAATGATGAAATAGGTTCGTTGTTGTTTTTCGAGAAAGAAACACGAGATGATGCGTAATCTGAACTCAACGCTGAATCGTTGAAATCGAAACTCTCTTTTTCATCGTTTGAATTTCTCATGATTGAAGAGTTGCACGAATGTTTGCTACTCAATTCGCATGATGATGACTCGGAAACACCGTTGCTCTCGCTCTCACGAGCGACATTTTCGAATGCGATCACTGATGTCGGAGAGACTGTTGTTCTACCTGAACAATTACTCCGGTCAAATGCAACGTCGACGGTGGGATGATCATCGGGCGGCGGAGGTATGGTGGTGAACTGCTTTGCTTCGGCGGCGGTCATGGTAGTTCTAATTTCTGGCGGAATCCGAATTGAAAAAAAAAGTGAAAGTTCAGTTCAAGTTTGGTAACAATATGAAGAAATTGAAATTTGAAAATAAAGTGAAGAGTTATCTGTGTTTCTATTTTTGTTGTAAAGAAAAAGGAAAGTGTGGGAAGAAAGGTGATATAGTATTTTATGTTCAAATTTGAAAGTAGCGAAAATGAGAGGGATGAAAATAAAGGAGAAAGTAGCAATGTGTGAATTGTACTGGGAATGTTTTGTTGTTGTTTTTGTGTTGTGTGTATGGGGCTAAGTTTATGTAGGGTCAGAGAAGGAGACAAGTTTGTGATTGTGGTTTTGGAGAGTTTCATTTTTGGGTTGCAAAATGGGTGTGTACGGCGACATTAGTGTTTGAGAGAGAAGGATGTATCATAAAGGCAGAATGCCATCCCCACGGGCTTTGCATGAAGTTTATTTATCAATGTTTGCCTGCCAACCTGGTGTAGTGTGGTACACTGAACTTTAGCCCCACTGGTCAGACAAATCTCATGCAACAGTAACGAGCAGGAGCAAGGTTTTTAAACTCATATCCTTTAAATTTTAAGGTATATTTAGATTTCTGGGATGTCATGGAATGGAGTGAACTTTTAAGAATTCAGATGGATTTTATTGTTTGATTTTGTAAATAAGTGATAAATCAAAATCGAATATGATGTAATTCATTTTATCCAATCATTTAATTTTCTTTTTGTTTAATTTCAAGTGGGTGCAAAGGAATGAACTAAATAGTTATTCTGCTTTGTTCCATTATATTTTATAATATTTCATTTCACTTTATTTTGTTCTAGTCTATATTCAAATATAATGTTCTCAACCGACTAAAGGCTCAAATGATTAAGATTCATCCAATTTAAATATATTTCATTTGACTTAAAGTATAAAAATTCGTTCATACAAAAAGTAAGATATATTTTTTTATATCCATTTTTCACTACATTCTTCTTGAATCTTGAACTGATTTGGACATTTGAGTGTTAATCTTGTAGGTTCACTCCGCACCCGTTATCGAAGATTAGAGTTCTCGATTCAAGACATCATGTTCACTAACTGCTTCCGTTTCTGGTTCCTAAACGAAACACTAGTCCTCGCTAAAGAGTTTGTAAGTGTCGTCATGATTAGAGAATTAGACTCCAACTAGAGTCTGGTATACTTCGTGTCAAAGGTCCTAGCGGGGGAAGAAACACGATACCAAAAGATTGAAAAGGCATCATTCATGTTAGTAACAACGATCTGAAAACTCATAAGGTACTTCCTTGCACATTTCATAGTTGTCTAAACATATTTATCCCTGAAGTAGGTGTTATATTAATCAGATATGGTCGGGCGTTTGATGAAACATGCCCTAGAACTGTCTGAATTTGAAGTGTCTTTCGAAGTAAGGAAGGCGTTGAAGGCCCAGTTATTTGCCGATTTCTTGTCGAAATGACCCATGCACCTTTAAATCTAAATTCCATGTGGGTGGTATTTATAGACGAATCATCCAATAGTCGAAGAAGTGAAGCTAATGTGATTTTGGAAAACGGCTCAGGGCTGGTGGAAAACGTCTCAGGGCACGTGGGTGGTATTTAAAATGCACACTTGAATCTTAACCACACTAGTCGATGATTACTTCTCGAGGTTGAATAACTTTCGATATCAGGTCATTAATGACTCCATCAGTTTTGATTTGGCTCACTTGAACATAATCTTGGTCACATGCTTCAGATTCAAGACGTCTGAAGTTGAATATCCCCTGAAGAGGAATTTATCCTATTCCATATATTCCTATATTGCACATCTGTTACGGTAGCCATGACAACCTTTCTCTAGCTCTTTCCAACATTACAGTCTCATACTTGTAGAGTTATAATACCTCCATTAACTTGCTACAACTTAACTGATATGATAAACCTTTCACAGCCACATCCCTGTCACACGGTCGTCAAATACTTTTCGCCTCCAAATTTGTCATTGTACTAACTCCTCAAAGTGTACATATCAGGATTGTGCTTCCAACATCTCTAGAATAACCATAATACAACGAACAATGTTTCATGCTTTGAACATATTTCCTTGGAATTCCCCGACACTCTAAAACTCGGTGTGTCTTGGCTTTACCAAGACTAACATATCTTCTTTATCGTGGTCTAGAAATACTCCTCTGGATACACCTCCCAATGAGCCAACCCAAGATATACTCAATCACAATTTACTAAGCATTAAAGAATAGTCATGCCATATGCTGGTCAAGATCAATGTTCACACATAAACTCAACCTCAGACATTTACACACAAGGATTCACTAACAAACCGTCGGAACAAGAAGCATCCAGAAATTATAATATGACATTACTCATACGGTTACGACCACTCAGAGTCTCCTCATAAGCGTAGCAGCAGAATCTGATCCATACAATTGTCATTTACATAGATAATCCTTAACTGTTGAGCGTGACATGGATCATTGACTATCATACTTTACCTTACGAGAATTCAAATCCATGCCTCACAAGTACATAATCAGAATTATACATTGAGATCGGGACCATCATCCCACATCTAATGGAGAAGTATAACTTACGCATCTCATGCCTAATAGCGATATTGTGGCGTTATACATGTTTGGTAGTACTAATATGGTGGTCCAACTCCGAGGCCATGTAGGCAAGTGAACTACTCAATATTGTATAACAATCTCCACCTTTATCCTAAAGTCACAATAGACGGATAGACATATAACTAGACAGGTCACCTCCAATCAAGTCCTTTTAGTCCCACTATAGGATGCTAAAACCTAATAGTGCAACATGCCCAAGGTTTACTTCCTCTGAACGCAACAAGCAAGATCTGACTTGATAAGAATTCAGTTCTAATTGTTAAGCCATCTGTGTACTCACCCACACATGGCACGCACGAGAGATTCCACAATCCCATCATATAGGAATACCATGGTTCAAAACACCTGACACAAACTGTGGTCATCCCGATGATGCTTTATATTGCCACTAGTTCTATTCACCTAATCACCCAATGCCTAACATAGTTCTATGGCCTTACTCAGGGTTAGATGAACCACGACTAGTGAGAAACGTGGCATACTGGACTCTGGATATTCATTCACTTCAGCTGCCGCCTAGCATAGTTCTAGGACTTAGGCATGTCAGAATAAGCAAGAAGATGCAATAGTCCCTTTCTCTAACTTAGTGCACAGGATTGCTCGAACAGAAATCATAACCTTCACACATATTGTCGATCCTTCACTAGATCCCTACTTATCGCTTAGGGTATTTTGAATAGGGTCGGGGTTTACCACCTCATTAATTCAAGCCCTTTCCACACATCAAAGAAACCAAAAAGGTTCAGTCTCTCTATCTAAGCTCCTAAAGGTTTTCCATCCAATAGGTTCTTAAGTCATATCCATCACTAGAAACCATAATCAATTAGTGAATCATACCGACTTCAAGCTCAGTGTTGCACCCCAAAATTTGTCCTCCTAATGATATTTTTATCTGACTTAGGCTCTTGCATTCATTTGCATATATTCCATTAGGTCACCTGCACTAATATATCATACATTTCATGGAATAAATCACATGGGTTCAATAGAATCAGTGGCTTTGAAGCTAGTGTTTTCACAGTATTTTGAGGCGTGTATATCAAATGAGGGTGATTCATTTGGTTGTTTCTCCATGCATTAAAACTCCGAGGAATCAAGATTTTTAAGTTTGGTTATCATGAGTTTCTCCTCCATTCAACTACAAGGCTATTCTTTTCTAAGATTCATCAAGGTTTGGGATCAAAGGTTATTTCTCTGCATTTCTCAGTAGACCAGGGTTTCATTAATTATGTGTGAGCATGTGCGTTAATCTAAGATCATGAGATTAGGGTTTGTTTTTCATCAAAGGATTTTCTCATAAAGCATGATGTTGTATGCCAAGATATCTTCTTATGTGCATAAAAAATTATCTTCAAGGGAATTCCTTGAGGACTTTAGCCTTGCGTTTTCAAGTGGACATGTTTGTGGTTTGAATTACAAAAGCGTGAAGCACAATACAAGATATGATGCGAGGGAGCATTAAGTGAGTTATAAGCATATGAATAAAGGCTTTGATTTTGGGCAAAGGCAATATGGAAAATTCATTTTTTGACTAAGTTCATGCGTGAATATTCTTCATTGGATTGAATCCTATGTCATATCATAAGTTCAAGACTTATTCATTGAATATGCAAGTTGGTTAGAATTTATTAATTAAGTATTGAAGTGAAATGTTCAGAGGATAATCAAATTGAATTAAGAAATTTAAGCATTGGTTTGTCTTCAAGAGTTTGATTCTCTTGGAAAACAAGTTATAAAATTCAAGGCATTCACCATACTTAAGGTTTTAAGTCTACCACCATTCAAAGTTCCTAACATACATGTTCATTCAAAAGACCGTCCCATTTTGTTTATCCAAATAAACTCAAAACTTCATTCAAATATCTTGTTCATTACAAAAGCTATACTATATTACAACCATGCTATCAATTAAAAACTACAAGCATATCCCTGAATTCAAATTCCTAAGGCTATTTTCCTCTTGCCTCTAAGGCAGAGGATGAAAGGATGGAGCTGAATGGTAAGGATTCCAAGTTTCACATCTATGAAAATGATGCTCTAAAAGTTTTTTATACACATCAACAAAAGTTTATTCAAAGTTCATATTTTACGAGTGATAAGTTTCCAAGTCCAACTCCTTCAGGTGACTGTGAGGAAGGAGTTTTTGACACCAATGGTGAGGTTTCTAGTGCTTCTGTAGCTTCTTCACTAACAAGATTTAAGTCGTCCCCTTGGATCAGATGCATGTTTCTTCTACTTCCATCAGTCGGTCTTCAGCAAAAAGTAGAGATCCTAGGCTTCGTTTCATTAATTCTGATACTTCAGATCTTAACCAACCAAGACTCGCATGAGCACCATCAGAATGAAGCTGCACCATGTTTTCCAA